CCGATCAGCTCCCAGCTTACCTGAGTCGGTTGACGCCGACACCACACGGTTGCCCAGACGCCTGTCCCCGCCCTCTTGCTCCAGGGTCCTGCTAAGGGTCTGCCACAAGCTTCGCAGCTTCAAGGGGAAGGTCCTCCTGGCCCCCTACCAGCCGGCTCAACCATGGTTCTCAGAGCTACTCGGCTGGTGTCCGCATCCACTGATGTTGGGGAACGCCTGCCTCTTCGATCCCCTCGTTGCCAGGCTACAGAGAACACTTCACTTACACACGTGTTGTTTCTCCGTTCCTCCCAGAGCAGGCTGTATTCGCCTAGAATGGTGGAGGACATCTTGTCAGGACTAAGACCTTAAACTACTTGACAATACGAGTTCTGCTGGAAAGCCTTCCGGCAGTACCTTAAGGAGCAGGGAGCTCCCACGCCCAGTGAAAGCGTAGTTCTAAAGGTCCTTCGTCTCTAGCGCACGAGCGAGGCAGGTCTATCCCGACCCTCTCCATCCACCTGTATTACGGGTGCGGGGCGAAGGTTAATAACGGGTCTGGTACCCTGCACAAGTGGGGCCTGTTCCACAAGCGACTAGCTGCTAGACCCACCCAGTACCTTCTGGCCCTTGGAGAAAGTCCTCACTCTTCTGGGCTCGGTAAGGTGCTACTCGTTCAGTCCAGTGACAAATTAGCCTGAGGGCCTCTGGCCTTAAGTTGCCTGTTTTTCCTATGTTCTTGTTACTATGAAGGTTTTACCCTCGCATGCACACACCCTCACACACAGCTGGCCTTGTCAACACAGGCTCGGGTATAAAGGCGGCCAAAGACTCACAGCCAACACAGTACGGTTCCCTACTCTCACACACCAACATCATGAGGGCTCTGGTAACTATCCCGCCGTGGTCAAGTATAGTGAAGAACATCTAGTGTTGATAAAGCGACTCTAATGTTGTGTATATATATATATATATATATATATATATATATATATATATATATATATATATATATATATATATATATATATATATATATATATATATATATATATATATATATATATATATATATATATATTGATAAATATACCTGGATCACTTTACAGTGATTTATTGCATATATATATATATATATATATATATATATATATATATATATATATATATATATATATATATATAAATAAATCACTGTAGGATATATATTGGGATGTATATATATATATATATATATATATATATATATATATATATATATATATATATATATATATATATATATATATATATATATATATATATATATATATATTACGGAGTGCGACAGCTGGAGTCAAGCACATGGATTTAACTATGAGTTTACCTTCACTATGTTACTGGGCACTTCAATTATTTTTAATTCTACCTTATAGAAGCAGAATCGATAAAATTTGAATTAATATGTTATCAATGTGAGTTAAATTATTGATGACATCTAGAAAAAGCATTTATTAAGTAAAATTGTATATATACAAATTAAAGAAATTTCCCAATAATTGTCTGTGTTTCCAAAACTATTGAACAACATTGAAAACAGATGTAATGTTAGCATTATCTCAAGGTTTTTTGTGTCTATATTGATGATGGAACTTTAGACCTGTTAGTTATAAAAGAGTTTCTATGGAGAAGATGGGAACATTGACAGGAAAATAAGCGGATTATAAAATATATTTAATACAAGCTTGTTATTAATTGTTGGAATGATATATCAAGTATATCACTGTTCATTAGTTGTTGAATGACTTCAATAATTTTACTCTTTCCGAAAATTCTGTTAATGACCAAGAATATTTCAAACAAATTCCCAATTAGATTTAAACAGCAAAAATAAAATCGTCTGCGGATAGTTATCAGGCAGTACCTGAAACTAAGTAAGAAAATTGTTAGTTACGATACTTAATACGTTAAAGTGTATAGAAAGCTACGCTATTACTCTAAAAGAAATATTAACTGATTTATTACAAAACTAAACACTTGATAAAGCTCACTATACATCCCTTCTACAGGTTGTTTTGGCAGTAGTGGGCGTGTGCTCAGCTGTACCCTTCGTCGGAGACACCCCGGAGGTGGCGGCAGAGAAAGCTCGGTTCTTCCAGGCTTACCAGGCTGCTCAGGCTGCTGCTCAGCCCCAGTACAACGCCATCCCCCACCAGGCCTACAACACCGGTCATTACAACCCCTCTCATCACAACACTGGGCACTACAACCACGCCCCGGCACAGCCCAAGTGGACTGGTCCCGTAGCTGCCACAGTCCCCGCCGGTGTTGACGGTACCATCACCCCCGTGTCTGACACCAGGGACGTTGCTGCCGCTCGCAATGCCTTCTTCAACACCTACCAGGCTCAGGTGGCTGCCACTGTAGGTGCTGCTCCCCATCATCACGGAGGCGCTGTCCACTACCAGGCTGCTCCCACCTACACCCCTGCCGCCCCTGTCCAGCCCAGGTGGACCGGCCCCGTGGCTGCCACCATTCCCGCTGGACTCCCCGGGGCAGGCAGCCAGGTGGCTGACACTCCCGAGGTTGCCGCCGCCAAGCAGGCCTTCTACAGCACCTTCCAGAGGCAGGCAGCAGCAGCGGCACCACCAACCCGATACTATTGAACCGTACTGTCATGATTAAGCCAATGAATATATAAACAATAAATATATATAAAATACACCTACTTCACATTTACTAAGACGTTAATGTTTAATAACCTAAATTTCATCTGGCAAGTCTCTCGGGCGAAGAATTTTGCACACTTCTCTTGCAAACGGTTTAACCAACCCATTGTCGTGAAGTCCTGCCACCGGGAGAGTCACTGATCATTAAGTCACTATTTACTTTACCTTATAACTCAGATGTGCTTTGAGGGTGTTGGTGAGGTTCTCTTGTCTCTTTAAGTTGTACCCAAAATTTTTTGCCATTTAGAGAAAACTTGCTGGTGACTAAACAATAGTTTTCTTGTTCTCATCTTACATTGTCATCGGCCGAACGTCTTCTGAAGACTCAGCCGCCTTTTGAGTGTAGTTCATTAGATAAGAAAAAAGGAAAATTCTCACCACAGCCAAACGTCCAGTAGAAACACAACATCGACTCATCGGAGCTGATGATTCTATAAAGGGCCGATTAAGATCAACAGCACATATCTTGGCTAACACCAAATTTCTTCCTGAAATATCACGTTTCTTTATGGTAGTTACATGACCGTGACGTCAGCACCATTCAATGACAGAGACTCATCATTAAAACTGGATAATGTTGTCTAGCATACTAAGTCTAACACCACAAAGAAGAAGCTCCATTCGGTATAGTGAGGGAGATGCCAGCTGTGAGATCTGAAGTAAAAGGAAGGTACACGGCAAACACCCGCCTGAATCACTATGCCGTTCATACTAATGGTGTGAAACAGGGACACCGGAGCAAACTGTTAGTCTGATAATTTCTCCAGAGATAAGCTTAAGTTTTTTTATTATTCTAACACAACAGTCGCTCTTCAGAACCAAAGAACCTACCACATATAGAAACTGTCGAAAAATTAAAAACATGGGAACAAAGTTAAGCAGAACAAGTAAAAAGGAAAAACGAAGCTATGAAGGATATTGGTCAGGTGTGAGAATGTGATGGTGTAACTTGAAGCCTACGTGAGCCATAAGCGGGAGGAAAGAGAGACAGAAAAGTTATCCAGTTTGGAACTACACAGTGATGTCTCCAGTGGCAGTACCTCGAAGGGCGTTGGAAGCTTTCAGTCTACCATCTACCACTTCACTTACATTCAGTTTTCACTTCTGAGGTGCAAAATTGTATTAATGATAAAACATTTATGTATATGTACTGTACACGTTTACACCAATTAGGAATAATTGTTTAATAGCGATAACTACTGTTGTTTTGGGGCGGGGTTTTTTTGGGGGTGGGGGGGATTTTTTATTGGCCATAGACCATGTTGTAGATCATCACAATACACATGACTAAAGAGTTCCATAGCAAACCTAACTTAAACTCACCCTACCTAACCTAAGGCAGGTTAGCCTTACCTACTCTAAGCAGGTCTAATCCAACTTACTTACAGTGCTAAAGTAGGTCACATTTCAGCTTTTTATTTGAAAAAGAAGTGAAGCTAACCCCCCTCCCCCCCCACACATAGTTGAGGAAGGGGAGCACATCGAAGATCACACTATAATTGCTCGTATTCTGTGCAAGTCATGCAAAAATATGACATACCAAACTTCAGCAATCTGTGTTAAAATCCACGGATGTACTATACATAGTAATGAAACAGAATATTAAATATGTTTTTATTAAGTGGATTCCACCTGCGGGGTGAGGGGCCGTCTCCAAAATTCCACTTCCTAATATTGTACAGTATACACACTGTACGTCTCCACACCAAATATCAGTTCTATACCTTCATAACTGTGTTCTCGTATATCAAACTATAACCTGAAGAGCATCATTACTAACTTCTGTTAACTGTTCCTGCTGATATTATTACAAAAATAAATATCGTTAAAAAAAAAAGGGTCTCCATCCTGGCAAAACATCTATTATGTTTTATGGCTTTATAAGATGATCTTCATTATATATTTTGATAAATATATCTTAACTCCGTAAGGCAGATGGTAATCAGTTCAACGTACCGATAAATGGTCACGGTTTGGATTAGCAAAAGTAGTTCATGATACGGTTCCCTCCTTGTACACTGGCCCTCGTGAACACAGATAAGATTACATTATGAAGTTACCTTGACGACTATTACAACCCCTGGGTGGACTAACTTTGTGCCTAGGAGGTTGTGTCCACTACGACCAACACACTGGAAATGAACACTGACAAGCTAAGTTACCCGGACCCGTAATCCTTTACATTGGATCATACCTGGGTCAAAAACTAGTTTACACACACACACACGCACACACACACAAACACATGCACTCATACTCACATGCACACACCCCCACCCTCACACACAGCTGACCTTGTCGACACAGGCTCGGGTATAAAGGCGGCCAAAGACTCACAGCCAACACAGTACGGTTCCCTACTCTCACACACATCATCATGAGGGCTCTGGTAACTATCCCACCGTGGTTAAGTATATTGAAGAACATCTAGTGTTGATAGAGCGACACCGATGTTACATATATGTTACAGAGTTCGACTACTGGTGTCAAACACGTGGACTCAAATATGAGTTTCCCTTCACCATGTTACTAGGCACTTAAATTATTTTTAACTTTAATTTAAAACAGCAGATTCGATATAATTTGGATTATTATGTTATCATTGTGAGTTGAATTTTTAATGACATCAAGAAAATGCATTTATTAAAATAAATTGTATAGATACAAATCAAAGAAATTTTCCAATATTTGTCTGTTTCCAAAAATATTGAACAACATGGAAAACAGATGTAATGTCAGCGTTATCGCAAGAGTTATTTAATGTTTATATTGATGATGGAACTTAAGAGTTGTTAGTGATAAAAGAGTTTGTTTGGAGAAGATGGAAACATTGGTTGAAAGGAAAAAAGCGAAATATAAACTATATTTAATACAAGTTTTTTTTATTATTTGTTGGAATGACATAACAAGTATATATCTATTCATTAGTTGTTGAATGACTTCAATAAATTTATTCTTTCTGAATATTATGTTAATGACTAAAAATACTTAAAATAAATTCTAAATTAGATTGAGACCGCAAAAAGAAAATCGTCTGCGCATAGTTATCAGGCAGTACCTGAAACAATGTAAGAAAATTGTAGATTTCGTTGCATAATAGGCTAAAGTGGATTGAGAGCTAAAGCTATTACTCGAAAAAAATATTAGCTGATTTATTACAACACTAAACACCAGATGAAGCTCACTATCATCCCTTCTGCAGGTTGTTTTGGCAGTGGTGGGCGTGTGCACGGCTGTACCCTTCGTCCAGGACACCCCAGAGGTAGCGGCAGAGAAAGCTCGGTTCTTCCAGGCTTACCAGGCTGCTCAGGCTGCTGCTCAGCCCCAGTACAACGCCATCCCCCACCAGGCCTACAACACCGGTCATTACAACCCCTCTCACCACAACCTTGGGCACTACAACCACGCCCCGGCACAGCCCAAGTGGACTGGTCCCGTGGCTGCTACCATCCCTGCCGGCCTCCCCGGGGCAGGCAACCAGGTGGCTGACACTCCTGAGGTTGCCGCCGCCAGGCAGGCCTTCTTCAGCACCTACCAGAGGCAGGCAGCAGCAGCGGCACCACCAACCCTATACTATTGAGCCGTACTGTCATGATTAGGTCAATAAAAATACAAACAATAAATATATATAAAACACCTACTGCACATTTATGTAAGACGCATTAATATGAAATAACCTAAATTTCATCTGGCAAGTTTCTGAGGCGAAGGATTTCCCACACTTCTCTTCCTGCAAACGATGTAACCGACCCAATGCCGTGGATGTCCTATCCCCGGGAGTCACTGATCACTCTATGTTACTATTTACTCTACCTGAAAACTGAGATGCGCTTTCGGTATGCTACCCACGCTTTGAGGGTGTTGGTAAGGTTCTCCTGTCCCTTTAAGTTGTATCTTAAAATTTATTGCCATTTGGAAAAGATTTGCTGCTGACTATATAAAAGTTTTCTTGTTCTCATCTTACGGTGTGATTGGCTAGCATATCTTCTGAAGAGTCAGCCGCCTTTTGAGTGTAGTTCATTAGATAAGAAAAAAGGAAAATTCTCACCATAGCCAAACGTCCAGTAGAAACACAACCTTGAATAATCGGAGCTGATGATTCTATAAAGTGCCGATTAAGATCAACAGCACATACTGTATATCTTGGCTAACACCAAATTTCCTCTTGAAATATCGCATTTCTTTGTGGTAGTTACATGACCATGGCGTCAGCACCCTTCAATGACAGAGACTCATCATTAAAACTGGATAATGTTGTCTAGCATACTAAGTCTAACACCATAAAGAATAAGCTGCATTCGGTATAGTTAGGGAGAGGCAAGCTGTGAGATCTGAAGTAAAAGGAAGGTACACGGCAAACACCCGCCTGAATCACTATGCCGTTGATACTAATGGTGTGAAACTGACAGCCGGAGCAAAATGTTAGTCTGATAATTTCTCCAGAGATAAGCATAATTTTTTTATTATTCTAACACAACAGTCGCTCTTCAGAACCAAAGAACCTACCACATATAGAAACTGTCGAAAAATTAAAAACATGGGAACAAAGTTAAACAGAAGAAGTAAAAAGGAAAAACGAAGTTATGAAGGATATTGGTCAGGTGTGAGAATGTGATGGTGTAAGTTGAAGCCTACGTGAGCCATAAGCGGGAGGAAAGAGAGACAGAAAAGTTATCCAGTTTGGAACTACCCAGTGATGTCTCCAGTGGCAGTACCTGGACGGGCGTTGGAAGCTTTCAGTCTACCATCTACCACTTCACTTGCATTCAGTTTTCACATCTGAGGTGCAAAATTGTATTAATGATAAAACATTTATGTATATGTACTGTACACGTTTACACCAATTAGGAATAATTGTTTAATAGCGATAACTACTGTTCTTTTGGGGGTTTTTTTGGGGGGGGGGATTTTTTATTGGCCATAGAGCATGTTGTAGATCATCACAATACACATGACTGAAGAGTTCCATAGCAAACCTAACTTAAACTAGCCCTACCTAACCAAAGGCAGGTTAGCCTTACCTACTCTAAGCAGGTCTAATCCAACTTACTTACAGTGCTAAAGTAGGTCACATTTCAGCTTTGTTGAAAAGTAAAGCTAACCCCCACATAATTGAGAGGGGAGCACGTGAAGATCCACTACCATTGCTCGTATTCTGTACAATCATGCAAAAAATATGACATACCAAGCTTCCAGCAATCATGTTAAAAATCCACGAATTATTACTACCATAGTAATGAAACAGAATATTAAATATGTTTTTTGTCGTGGATTCCACCTGCAGGGGTGAGGGCCAAACAACCTGGGACGTCTCCAAAATTACTTCCTAATGACCCAGCGCAGTATACACTGCACGTCTCACGCAAATATCAGTTCTATACCTTCATAACTGTGTTTCTCATATCGACTGTAACTGAAGATGTCTTCTGCTGTGCTGAAACCACTGCTGATATAATTACCAAAATAAATATCGTTAAAAATAAGGAGTCTCCATCTGGCAAAACATCTATTATGTTATGTAAACTTTATAAAGATGATCTTCATTATGGCTTTTGATAATATATCTGCTCACGTAAGGCAGATGATGTCAGTTCAACGTACGTCGTAAGTCACGGTTTGGATTAGCAAGTAGTTCGCTCACGGTTTCCTCCTTGTACAACTCGTGAACCTGGAGAAATGGATTACGTGCTCAGTTATGAGCAATCTACCAAGCCCTAAGTTGGACTAACTTTGTGCCTAGGAGGTTGTATCACTACATTAACTTGGTAAATAGACATGACTACACTAAGTTACCCCGGACCCGTAATCCTTTGCATTGGATCATACCTGGGTCCAAAAATTGGATTTACACACACACACGCACACACACAAACTGCATGCACACTCCTTTTTACCTACTGTGACCTTGTCAGCTGAGGCTCAGGTATAAAGGCGGCCAAGGCTCAGCCAACACAGTACGGTTCCCTACTCTCACACCATCATCATGAGACTCTGGCTTCTCCACATTAGTTGGTATAGTGAAAAAGAGAACATTGTGAGTATTGATAGGCGACGATGTTACATATATGTTGCAGAGTTCGACTACCGTTATCGAGCGCCAGACTCAAATATGAGTTTCCCTTCACGTATTACTGAGCACTTAAATTAACGCTTGAATTTTAAAACAGCAGAATCCGATATAATTTGGATTATTGTTATCATTAGGTTGATTTTTAAACATGAAAATGCATTTACCAAAATAAATTGTATGAATGCAAATCAAACAAATTTTTTCAATATTTGTCTGTTTAAAATATTAAAACAACATGGAAGCAGATGTAATGTCAGCGTTATCGCAAGAGTTATTTAATATTTATAGCCAGTGATGAACTTAAATTGTTAGTGATAAAAGAGTTTGTTTGGAGAAGATGCGACATTAGTTTAGAGAAGAAATATAAACTATATTTCAATACAAGTTTTTTATTATTTGTTGAATGACATAACAAATTATATAACTATTCATTAGTTGTTGAATGACAATAAATTTATTCTTTCTGGATAAACCCATGTTAATGACTAAATCTTAAATAAATTCCATTAGATTGAGACCGCAAAGAAAATCGTCTGCATAGTTATCAGGCAGTACCTCAAACAATGTAAAGAAATTGTAGATTTCGTTGCAGAATAGGCTAGTGGATTGAGGCTAAAGCTATTATGAAAAAATATTATTGTTTATTACAACGCAAACGCAGATGAAGCTCTATCATCCTTCTTAGGTTGTTTGGCAGTGGTGAATAATAACGGCTGTACCTTCATGGGACTTTAGAGGTGGCGGCGGAAGCTCGGTGCTTGGGCTTGCCAGGCTGCTCCAGGCAGCCGCACTAACACAACGCCATTCCCCCTGGGCCTCTGTGCGAGGTCATTGGCCCCTCTTCACAGCACTGGGCACTGGCCACGCCTGGGTGTGGGTGGTTGGCCCCGTGGCTACCACCATCCCGCCACACTCCCAGGGCAGGCAACCAGGTGGCTGACACTCCTGGGGAATTGCCTGCCAGGCAGGCCTTCTTCAGCACCTACCAGGGCAGGCAGCAGCAACAACAACCCGATACTATTGAGCCGTACTGTCATGATTAGGTCAATAAAAATACAAACAATAAATATATATAAAACACCTACATTTATATAGACGTGTGCGAAATAACCTACGTTTCATCTGGCAGAATCTCTCTCTGAGGCGAAGATTTCCCCACACACTTCTCTTCCAAAACGATGTAACCGACCATTGCCATTAGATGTCTATCCCCAGGTCACCTGATCCTCTATGTTACTGTTACTCTACCTGGCTTAAGTTGCTCGGTATACCCGCTTTGAGGGTGTTAGTAGGCTGTCTGCCCCGCTAAGTTGTATCTTAAATTATTGCCATTTGGAAAGATTTGCTGCTGACTATATAAAAAGTTTTTCTTGTTCTCATCTTACGGTGTGATTGGCTGCTTATATCTTGAGAAGGTCCTTTTCTTTGAGTGTAGTTCATTAGATGAAAAAGGAAAAGATTCTATAGCCAAACGTCAAAGTGAAACAACCTTGACAATCGGAGCTGATGATTCTATAAAGGTGCCAAATTGAATCCAACAGCACATACTGTATATCTTGGCTAACACCAAATTTCTCTTGGAAATATCGCATTTCTTTGTGGTGAATTTACATAATAGCGTCAGCGCAGCCAATGAAACAGAGACTCATCATTTAAAACTGGATAATGTTGTCTAGCATACTAAGTCTAACACCGCCTGAAGCTGCATTCGGTATAGTTAGGGAGGCAAGCTGTGAGATCTGGTAAAAAGGAAATTTTGGCAAGCACCACCTGAATCTATGCCGTTGTTTAATGGTGTGAAACGGCAGCCGGAACAAAATGTTAGTCTGATAATTTCTCAGAGATAAGCATAATTTTTATTGTTCTAACACAGCAGTCGCTCTTAGACCAAAAGTTACCACTATAGAAACTGTCCAGAAATTAAAAACTTAGGAACAAAGTTAAACAGAAAAGTAAAAAGGCAAGTTATGAGGATATTGGTCCAGAACAGCAGAAATGTGATGGTGTAAGTTTAGAGCCTGTGGGCCAAGCGGGAGGAAAGAGGACAGAAAAAGTTATCAGTTTTGGAACTGCCAGTGATGTCTCCAGTGGCAATTTAATTGCCTCATTGGGCGTTAGGGCTTTCAGTCTACCATCTACTACTTCACCCATTCCAGTTTTTCATCTGAGGGTGCAAAATTGTATTAATGATAAAACATTTATATTATATATTACTGTACACGTTTACCAATTAAGAGATAACTTGTTTAATAACTGATAACTACTGGGTTTTTGGGGAGGGATTTTTGTGGCTTGTGTGCATGTTGTAGATCATCACAATACACATGACTGAAGAGATTCCTGTAAAGCCCTATAACCCAAGCTCTGCCTACTAACCTAAGGCAGGTTAAGCCTACCTATAGCAGGTCTAAATCCAACCCCAACGTTACTAAAATGGGTCTGTTGTTTTATTTGAAAAAAGAAATGAAAGCTAACCCCCACTAGTTGAGGAGAGCACATCAGTCACACTATAATTGCTCGTATTCTGTACAAGTCATGCAAAAATATGACATA